GTAGTTTGGGTTTTCTCTTTCTTAGGAGCCATATGTAATGATGGTAATGATGGTATTGATGGTAATAACTCTCTTAAAGTGAGCCTTTACTTCACTTAACGATATTGAATATTTCTTTGACGCATATATCTTTAAAAGGTTTCCTTCACCCTTTTTTCTTCCCTTCTTCCTTCCCCTTTCGCTTTTACTTCCTTCTTACAGGTATTGTTGGCTGATAGCTTTTGACTTGTAGATTCACTCCCTCCAATCTCCTTATTTAAGAAGGGTTCTGGCTTTTATTATTTTTTCCTTTTTTTTTTCTTTTTCTTTTATCCCTTTTCTTTCCTTTTTCTTTCTCCTCTGTGTCTTTTTCTCTTCCTTTTCCTCTTGCCTCCTTCTCCTTTCCCTTTCTCTTTTATCTCTCTTCTTCCTTCTCTCCTCTCTCTTTTTTTTTTCTTTTCTTTTGTTGTGACTTTAAATTTTCAAATTTTAACTTTCAAATAGCTATCCCTTTAAATAACAGTCCTTTGATTGACACATCAAATATGAGGTAGAGATCAATGGAAATCAATGGAAATCGATAACAGATAGATGGGAAAGTAACTATTTGCTCATAGATATTATCTTTATACACACTAGGACCGCTCTCATGTCCCTCACATCAATGCCAAAAGCCAATCTTCTATTTACAAAGCACAATACCTGCAGACTGAGTCTGAGTCTTATCAGCTCATTGCCCAATCTCCTTTTGATGCCGTCGAACTCGGTATATTTACTGTCTCATTGAAGCAGCAGCAGGGAGCAGGGGAGCAGGGAAGGAGACCTTCAACTGTTCAGCCACCTAACAGAGTCTCACCGGCTTTTTTTTTTTAATGCCACTGAATTCGGCATCCTCACCGCCTCGATACCTCGCTGCTTCTCTGCCTCACTTCCTGGTCCGAGAGAGCGCGCGGTCCTGCCGCATACGGACGCGCCTACGTCACGTACCGCCCGCCCATCCCCATGCACCTCCTCCTCACATTTATGATTTTAACAATCAATCACTGATTTTAAAAACACAGTTCACAGAAAAAAATTATTCACTAACACAATTGAATAATACTATAGAAACAGTGAGAAATAAACCAAGAGAAAATCTTTTAACCTACAAGGACAAACACACCTCAGATGCTCCTACCCTTCCTATAATTTTTAACTATAACAACAAAAGTGGTTTTATTAAAAAAAAAAACAATAAATAAACACTGGCACCTTTTAAGACAAGATGACCCTCTTAAAGAACTCTTACCAACAAAACCAAAAATAGTTTTTAGAGGTGCACCTAATTTTAGATCCATTTTAACCAAAAACTACACTAGAGAAACCAAACAAAGCACCAACCATACTTTTTTAGAAGGAGCAAAAGGTTTTTACAAATGCAAGTGCTGCATTGTTTGTAAAAGTACTGACCCCTCTACGCAATTAAAGGTCACCAGTTTTAAATCAAACAGAACTAATAAAAGTTACACCATAAGAGATTTTATTGGATGTAATACAACGAATGTAATCTACTTATTGGAGTGCCCATGTGGCCTCCAATACGTAGGTCTGACCACTAGGTGCCTAAAGACAAGACTAGGAGAATACTGCAGGAATATTAAAAATATATCTAAGCACTTTATCAAACATAACCAAGACCCAAAACTCCTTAAATGTGTTGGAATCAAAAAATGTAAGGTCCCTTGGAGAGGTGGAAACATAAAAAATATTTTAGGCAGATCTGAAATGGAGTGGGTCTTTAACCTGCAGACCCTAGCTCCCCAGGGTTTAAATGCAGATTTTGATCTGTACAATTTTTTATAAACAATTGTTATAAATGTTTTTATATGTGTTCACAAATATAACTGAAAAAGTTGTTTTAAGTTCATATATCTAAACAAGTCCTTCTAATTTCTTAATTCCCTCCTAATCTGTTATACATTTTTGGTCACATATTTTTAACCATTTATAATATGTCCTATGTGTTTATCATTAGTGATGTACCGAACGGTTCGCTGGCGAACGGTTCCTGGCGAACATAGCATGTTCGCGTTCGCTACGGCGGGCGAACATATGCGCGGTTCGACCCGCCCCCTATTCATCATCATTGAGTAAACTTTGACCCTGTACCTCACAGTCAGCAGACACATTCCAGCCAATTAGTAGCACAGCCTCCCTAGCAGACCCTCCCACCTACTGGACAGCATCCATTTTAGATTCATTCTCAAGCTGCATGCTTAGTAAGAGGAGGGAAAGTGTAGCTGCTGTTCATAAGATAGGGAAAAGCATAGCTAGGTTAGGAATAAGGGTATGCTTTTAAAAAAAAATTTTTTTCTATGTAATGTAATTGCACTTAGTTGTCTGCCACTGCTGCCAGCTTCTGTGTCAGGCTCACAGTGCATACTGTGCCCATTTCCCCAGTCAGTGCCACCAATTACATCTGGTGTCACAATAGCTTGGATTTAAAAACAAAAAACTTTTTTCACTGCTATAGATTGAATAGCAGTCA